TGGAAAGGCTACATGCTATGTGATTCTAACTATATGCCATTCCAGAAGAAGTAAAAAAATGGAGACAGTAAAAAGATTGTGGTTGCCATGAGTAAAGGTAGCAAGGAGAGATGAACAGGCAGAGCACGGAGAGATTTTAGTTCAGTGAACATACTCTGTATAATATTATAATAATGAATATATGTCATTATACATTTGTTCAACCCACAAAATCTACATCAAGTGTCAGCCCTAAGGTGAACTGTGGACTTTGGGTGATTATGATTTATCAATGTAGGTTTAGTCTTTGTAAAAAATATATCATTCTGGTGAGTGATGCTGATAACTGGGTGGGATGGGGATATGCATGTGTGGGTACAGGGGAAGTGGGAAATCTCTGTACCTCCTCTCAATTTCATTGTAAACCCAAACTGCTGTAAAAAATAAAGTTCTTAAAGTATTTTTAAAAAGCATAGTATGATGAGAATATAAATAAAAGACACAATGGGTCACACAGAATTAAAAATATAGGTCTAACATAAGCTACTTCCACTTTAACTTTGCTTTTGCATTTGAAAAATGTACATAGTAATTTCCTATAAATTTCTTGTATATTGAGATCTGGACTTGGTATAACTATGTTCTAGGAAAGTAGAAACTATATTCTGTATTTCCCACCTTGGCTTTCTATTACCCTTTTACCTTGATTCTTAAGCATCAAGCTGATTTCATCGGTGCCTGAGAAAAACAGAATGTGATCAGCAAGCCATCAGATTCCCCATGTGATGCAGGTTAAAATGGCGTCAGTGGTCAGTGTTTGGTATGTAGGAAGTACTGGGCCCGTGGGGACAAATGTGCTGATATTTTTAAATATTTTGCCATAATTGCAGAATTTTTTGAAGTTTTACTTGGTGGCATAATGTCTTCTAATAACACCTTTTCTGTTTGAAAAGTTGAAAAAATCTGACACGTTGGGATTACAGGAGTGTATGTAAAGCCTCTTGCCGAGTTTGCTCACAAAGCTGATCCCTCAGAGGTACGTTATAGTTCCTCATCGAGGTCCTTGCCTTACACATGAGCACGGAGGGTGTGCGTACCCTTATTTACTCAGACTTGGGTCTGTGAGCATCTTCCACTAAGAGCAAGGCCATAGATAGCTTTGTGCTCATCAGTGTAGCAGTGTTACTGAAATAAATGTGAGCTGGGTCCTGCTGTCCCTTCCCCTGGGGTGTCACCACAGCTGCGCTGCAAGTTTCTGCCTGTTGGGTGCCCTGAAAGAACTTTGGCAATTGCTGAAAGGTCATCAGCTGCAATTTTAGACGGGTGGGTACTCAAACTTCCAACACTTAAATGTTGCCGCAAAGGGCTATGATTGCTGCACTCAGCTGTCTGCCTGGGCTCCACGGTGGCAGAAATAGCAGTCCCTCCTAGGGATCCCTGTATGGATGAATTTGACTGATCCCCAAATTACCCAGTCTTTTGCTTATTCTTAACATCCGCAGCCTGCTGGGCACCAATGCTTCTCTATGCCTTTGTGCTGAAGCACTGGTTTGTTGATTTGTTTGACTTCCAGTCTCTTGGAACAGATACTTTAAAAAACCATAATAAAAAAGCATTATTGGAAAGGCCAGTACACATGAAAACATGTTCAACCTCACTAATCATTAGGGAAATGCCAATTAAAGCCACAATGAGAAACCACTCCACTCCCATTAGGATGGCTGTTATCAAAACAACAGAAAATAACAACTACTGGCAAGACGTGGAGACGTCAGAACTCCTGGGCACTGCTGGTGGGAATGGAAACTAGTACAGTGTTTCCTCAAGAACTTAAACACAGAACTGCCATATGATTCAGCAATTCCACTTCTGGGAATATACATCCCAAAAATTGAAAACAGGGGCTTTCACAGATACTTGTTGTACCATGTTCATGGCAGCATTGTTAATGGATAACAAAATGTAGGATATCCACCCAATGAAATATCTTTAAGCTTGAAAAAGGACAGAAATTTCAGACACATGCTGCAACATGGATGAATCATTACACTAAGTGAAATAAGCCAAACACAAAAGTGAAATAAGACAGAATCTGTGTGATTCCAGTTATTTGAAGTACCTAGACTAATCAAATTCACAGAGACAGAAAGTAGAATGGTGGTTGCTGAGGGCTAGGGATTGAGAGGGAATAGAAAGTTATTACTTAACAGGCACAGAATTTCACTTTGGGAAAATGAGCAAGTTCTGGAGATAAATGATGGTGGTGATGGTTATGCAACAGTGTGAATATACTTAATGTCACTTAAAAATAAAATGCTAAAAAATACTGGAAAAATGAAATAAACAAATATATACAAAATACAGGTATCAATTGTTTAGTTAGATTGTAATTATATTTATAAATTTAAATTATACCTTATTGCTACATTTTAGTTGAATTTTAATAAATATACTCAGAACAAACATAATAGGAAAATTGCTGTAGAGACTTCTAAATACTTCCTTTTTTCTACTTACTTCATCATGGACCAGGACATGGTCTACTTTGTATTTGTTTTGCAGTTTAAAATGAGTTTTAAAAAATATGCAAGTTCTTTGAATTTTAACACACGTATAGATTCAAGTTAGCATCACCATGATCAGGGTGCACAACAGCTCCATCCTGACCCCTCCTCATACCCCTAACCACCGGCAACCTTGGAGTTGTTTTCTCTATATATAATTTTGTCTCTTCAAAAATATCATATGAATGGAATCATGCAGTGTGCAGTCTTTTCAGACTGGCTTCTTTCACTTAGCATAACATCTTTCTGATTCATCGCAGTGCTACATGTAACAATGGTTTGATCTTTTTTATTGGTGAATGCTATTACATTTTTATGGATCTACCACTGTTGATCTCTTCACCATTGGATACCATTTGGGTGTTTGCAGTTCCTGACAATTATAAACAGCACTGCTATAAATATTCATGAACGGGTGTTTGTGTGAATACACATGTTTATTTGTCTAGGGTCCACCATGAGTGGCTTTGTTTTACACTATCATGTGGGAGACCCTTAATAAGATGATGTTAAACTTCAAAGGAAACCCGGAAACTGTCAGGCAGGCTACTCTTATTCATTGGCCCAGAATTCCTAATATCCTGCCTCTGCTCTTTTTTCATTATGTCAGAAGAGTCATCATTGATCTCCCATGTGAAAAACAAAGTTGTTATTTGCTAATGGCAACATGACACGTCAGAAAGAAAAGTTTCATTCTACAGTCTGCAGAGCTCTACAGTCTACAGAGCTCTTGGGAAAGAACAAGAGAGTTTTTGAATTTATATCCTGCTGATGTTCTGACAGAGCAGTTCCCCTCCTAGAGCTGAATCTCACTGAAGCCCTCACACCAGCACAAGTACAGGCACAAAGATAAGGAAGTTTGTTGCAGGATTGTTGCAGGATCGCAGCAGACATTTCCAAGATAATCAAACTGAGTGCACACTGGAAGGCAGTATGTCTCTGTGTACTGGCATGGGCACATTTCCAAGATGTCTTGTCATGGCCTTCAGCTTGCTTGGTCCAGGACCAGTGCCAGCTCCTCGGCAGGATCACTGCATGACACAAATCTGGCCAGTGCTACGGAAGTGGAAGTCTACCAGCATGTTGCGGGGTGCGTTCTAGGGAAATACTTCTTTCCGAACAGAAGGGACCTGATGTGGTTGGAGCTGTCCTCCCCACTTTGGGTCTTCAGTGTGGCTACATGCTCAGGGCAGTGCTTGCCATTTTGTGCCCACGAGATGACAAGCTTGGAGGCAAAAGCCAGCTGACCAAGGGTTATAAAGACAGAGAGGGGTCCCTAAGGGCACATTTGAGCAGCTCAATGAATGCAAGCAGCCACCTCCTAGTGGACTCATGAGAATATAAGAGACAAATGAATTCCCATATTTAAATCACTCTGAGTTTTCTATTACTTTCACTAAACACATTCTGACTGAAATAACTTTCAAAGGGAAAAAAAATCAAATTGCAGAGCAATATACATATTCTACTGTTTTGTGAAATGGAGTTATATACATATATATGTTATATTTCTTCAACTTGGAAGGATAATAGTATCTAACAAGTAGTGAGCAGCTGCCGAGAATGAGGCACATCTTACACTTTTATTCCTCACAATGACTCTAAAGTACATGTTTTCTTGTTCTCCCCATTTAAAGGTGAAAAAACAGGCTTCGGGCACTTTCCCAGGCCACACAGCTAGTAGAGAACTAGCCTGGGACTCAGAGCCAGGTCTGGCTGCCCCTAGAGAAAGTGCTTGGTCCACCCCACTGACCATGGTCAGTGTGTCCCCAAACCAGATCCCCACAAGCTCTAACAGCAGGTGTTTTTAGGGAACAGGTTGAGGGATGGGATGGTGGTGAGGACTCCACCTTCTCTTTATGTACTTCTCTACTGTTTCCTTTTCAGTAAGCAAGTATTATTTTTGTTATAAAAGTGCAAATCTAGGGAAATTGATAAAATAACCCTGGTGTGAGGTGTGCTAGGAATATAAATTTTTTCTTCCAGAATCACATACCTATTATGGACATCCATACACTCATATGTGCTTTTTGGAAATAAAAAGCACCCTTTCCAAACTTGGATGACAGAATCCTGGCTAAAATGTCCCAGGGTTTGCTGCTGTTTCATTCTGTGACCTAAACCCCAGATAAGATATCTGCCAATCTGCTTCCTATAATCTCAGTGGAATTGGGTTCTGTTCATACAGCACCAAATGTATGTGAATACTTGAATAAGATGGCATTATGAATAATTTTTTAGTGGCTGGATTTCTCATCTTCTATCTGTTATGAAATGGTTGCTTCTTAAGATCTTTAAAGAAAAAGGTTCATCATGAGAAAGTAGGTCTGTGTTTCTGGGCTGCCCGGTTCTATTTACAGCTTGCTATGGCCTTGGCAGCCTTCAGAATCAGCCAGGCCAGAGAGATTTCCCTGAGGGCTTGCCCAGTTATCTCAGTCACGTGGGCTGGAGCACTTTTCCTTAAAGGTCCTAGCACGCCAGCACGTAACAACTCTGATATCGGAGCAAACACAGTCCTTAGAGATTAAACAAGGCTTTCTGCAGGCAGAAAAGAGGATCTGGAAATTATAGCCACGATGACGGACAGAAGCCCCTTTGAGACAGACATGCTCACCCTCACCCGCTACGTTATGGAAAGGGGGCGTCAGGCCAAAGGGACAGGGGAGCTCACGCAGCTGCTGAACTCCATGCTGACAGCCATCAAAGCCATCTCCTCCGCTGTGCGCAAGGCCGGCCTGGCCAACCTGTGAGTCCTGTGGGGGCAGGTGTGGGTGCACAGGTCTGTCCTGGACTCGGGCCTGTGGGCCAAGCTGTGGTGTTGGGCAAGCAGCCCGGTCAAAGGCTATTTGCACCGGAGGGAAGTTGTGGTTAGTTTCTGTCATGTGTGCTTTGATAAAGGGGCCTTTGTCTTGTTTCTAGGAAAGAACAAAATATGTGGAGACACACTCTGGAGAAAATATGAATGTAATTTTCCAGTTGCCAATGCATTATAAAGATGAAAATCTCAGTGGCTTGTTACATTTAATTGTACATTGAATTATTGTGACTGTATCTGCCTTCTTGGTGACACAAAGAAACTGCTGGGAGGACGGAGACTTCTCTCTATGTCCTTTGCAAAATAAGCATTTTAGTGTCACGGTCTTTGCCAAAATGTTAGGAGCTAGGAATCAGTTACAGATTAACTTCCCAGGGCCACGGCCTACATCTCTTTTTTCACTATCAAAAGGAGTCTTTTGCTTTTAAAACATTTTTAAAATTTCTTCTCTGTAACTTTATCTTCTCCACCTGGCACGCAGGATGCCGGGAGGTGCTGGGACTGGGCCGAGGGAGTTGAGAGCATTCTTCCACTTTGCTCTCTTCAGGGCTTCATCCAAGCACAGATGAGGCTAAGTTCATGCTACCTGTGCTGATAGTCACAGCTTTCTCTTTAAAAATAAAACAAGTCTGTTATTTCATCAGCAAAAATGGATTACTCAGAAATAGCAGAGAATTGCAATTAGGGGCCAGCAAGGCACAGCAAAAACCATAGACAAATCCAGCAAAGCAGAGGAACTGTCCAGTGGGGGAGGAGGAGCTGTGAGGGGCTGTTTTGAGCTAAAGGCCATTGGAGAAATGCAAGAGTTCAGGGTGCTGAGGATTCTCTTGGCTGAGTTGCTGGAGGAGTTGATCTCTTACGGGAGAAGAAATGCCCATCTCTCCTGCTGGGGCTGTAAGGTAACTGGTGAGTTCTTCCTGCTGAGACTTCAGTTGGGGCCTGTAATTCACAAGTCTTCCGTCATTGACACGGAGTGTCACAGCGTGAGGGCTCCCCCTTTTGGCCTCCAGACCCCATCTCTGTGAGTTCTGATTAATTTTCACAGCCACGTGTCCAGTTAAAGTCCGTGATACAGAGCAGCCGTCTCTCTCTGGGCTTTCATGTCCTTTGCAGCAACTCCAGGGAAAGTCCTCTCAGAAGCAAAAGGGACCCATTATTATTATTTTTGCTCCAAAAGGAAGAAGTAACAAAGTCCAATAATTTAAAATATTTATTCTTAACTATTTAGTGCTTTAAAAAAGTTAGAATAAAGTTGAAATACAGTATTATGTTAGTTTCAGATGTAAACTATAGTGACTTGATAATTATACACATTACTAGATGCTGGCCATAGTAAATGTAGTTACCTCATCACCATGCCAGGATATTACAATATTACTGGTTATATTCTCTATGCTGTACTTCGAGTCCTGTGACTAACTTATTTTACAAATTAAAGTTTGTACTTTTTTATCCCCTTCACTTACCTCACCCATCCCCCACCCCCTCCCTATGGTAATCAACAGTCTGTTGTCCATATTTACACATCTGTCTTTTTTTGTTTTGTTTTTTAGATTCCACATGTAAGTGGAACCATATGGTATTTATCTTTCTTTGCCTGACTTATTTCACTTAGCATGATACCCACTAGCTCCATACATGTTGTCAATGGCAAGATTTCTTTTTTCTGGCTGAGTAAAATTCCATTGTGCGTATGTTCCACCTCTTCTTTATTCACTCCTCTATCAACGGGCATTTAGGTTGCTTCCATATATTTACTACTGTAAATGATGCTGCAATGAACATAGGGGTGCATAAATCTTTTCAAATTAGTGATTTTGTTTTTTTCAGGTAAATTCACAGAAGAGGAATTGCTGGGTCATATGGCATTTCTATTTTTTAGTTTTTTGAGGAGCCTCCATATAGTTTTCCACAGTGGCTGGACCAATTTACATTCCCACCAACAGTGTAGGAGGGTTCCCTTTTCTCCACATCCTCGTCAATACTTGTTATTTTTTGTCTTTCGCATGGTGGCCATTCTGACTGATGTGAAGTGATACCTCATTGTGGTTTTGATTTGCATTTCCCTGATGATTGATGATGTGGAGCACCTTTTCAGTGTCTTTCTGCTATCTGTATGTCTTCTTTGGAAAAATGTCTATTGAGGTCCTTTGCTTATTTTCTAATTGGATTGTTTGTTTTTTGGTGTTATGTTGTATGCATTCTTATTTATTTTATGTATTAGCCCCTATAGGATATATCTTTTGCAAATATATTCTCCCATAAGGTAAATTGCCTTTTTGTTTTGTTGAGGGTATCCTTTGCTGTCCAGAAGCCTTTTAGTTTGATGTAGTCCTGCTTGTTTACTTTGCTTTTGTTTCTCTTGCCCATGGAGCTGTATATAGAAATTCCTGATGTTGATGTTCATGAGATTCTTGCCTATGTTTTCTTCTAAGAACTTTTTGGTTTCATGTCTTACATTTAGGTCTTTCATACATGTCATGTTTAGTTTTGGGTATGGAGTTAGACAGTAATCCAGTTTCATTCTCTTACATGTAGCTGTCGAGTTTTCCTGAACCCCAGTTATTGAAGAGACTATCTTTTCCCCATTGTATATTCATGGCTCCTTTATCATATATAATTGACCATATATGCATGGGTTTATATCTGGGTTCTCTATTCAGTTCCATTGATCCATGGGTTTGGTCTTGTGCCAGTGCCATACTGTTTCAGTCACGGTAGCTTTGTAGTACAGCTTGAAGTCATGGCACCTGATACCTGCAGCTTTGTTTGTTTGTTTGTTTGTTTTTGGTATCATTAATCTACAATTACATGAGAAACATTATGTTTACTAGACTCCCCCATCACCAAGCCCTGCCACAAACTCCATTACAGTCACTGTTCATCAGCGTAGTAAGATGCTATAGAATTACTAGTTGTCTTCTCTGTGTTGTACAGCCCTCCCCTTGCCCCCACATTATACATGCTGATCATAATGCCCCCTTTCTTTTTGTCCCCCCCTTATCCCTCCCTTCCTACCCATCCTCCCCAGTCCCTTTCCCTTTGGTAACTGTTAGTCCATTCTTGGTTTCTGTGAGTCTGCTGCTGTTTTGTTCCTTCAGTTTTTTCTTTGTTGTTATACTCCACAGATGAGTGAAATCATTTGATACTTGTTTTTCTCCACCTGGCTTATTTATTTATTTATTTATTTATTTATTTATTTATTTATTTATTTATATTAAGATATGATTGATATACACTCTTATGAAGGTTTCACATGAAAAAACAAGGTGGTTACTACATTTACCCATATTATCAAGTTCCCACCCATACTCCAATGCAGTCACTGCCCATCAGTGTAGTAAGATGCTACAGATCCACTGTGTGCCTTCTCTGGGCTACACTCTTCTCCCCGTGATCCTTCACACCATGTGTACTAAACATAATACTCCTCAATCCCCTTCTCCCTCCCTCCCCACCCGCCCTCCCACACCCCTCCCCTTTGGTAACCACTAGTTCATTCTGGAGTCTCTGAGTCTGCTGCCACTTTGTTCCTTCAGTTTTGCTTCATTGTTATACTCCACAAATGAGGGAAATCATTTGGCATTTGTCTTTCTCCGCCTGGCTTATTTAACTGAGCATAATACCCTCCAGCTCTATCCATGTTGTTGCAAATGGTAAGATTTGTTTCTTTCTTATGGCTGAATAGTATTCCATTGTATATATGTACCACCTCTTCTTTATCCATTCATCTACTGATGGACACTTAGGTTGCTTCCATATCTTGGCTATTGTAAAAAGTGCTGCGATAAACATAGGGGTGCATATGTCTTTTGGAATCTGAGAAGTTGTATTCTTGGGTAAATTCCAAGGAGTGGGATTCCCGGTTCAAATGGTATTTCTATTTTTAGTTTTTTGAGGAAACTCCATATTGCTTTTCACAATGGTTGAACTAGCTTACATTCCCACCAGCAGTGTAGGAGGGTTCCCCTTTCTCCACATACTCGCCAGTATTTGTTGTTCTTAGTCTTTTCTATGCTGGCCATCCTTACTGGTGTGAGATGTTATCTCATTGTGGTTTTAATTTGCATTTCCCTGATGATTAGTGATGTGGAGCATCTTTTCATGTGTCTGTGGACCATCTGAATTTCTTCTTTGGAGAACTGTCTCTTCATATTCTCTGCCCATTTGTTATTTCCTTTTTGGGTGTTGAGGCATGTCAGTTCTTTATATATTTTGGATGTTAACCCCTTGTCAGATATGTCATTTACAAATATATTCTCCCATACTGTAGGATGCCTTTTTGTTCTGTTGATGGTGTCCTTTGCTGTACAAAAACTTTTTAGTTTGATGTAGTCCTATGAGCTCATTTTTCTTTTGTTTCCCTTTCTTGAGGAGATGCATTCAGGAAGAAGTTTCTCATGCTTATATTCAGGAGATGTTTGCCTGTGTTGTCTTCTAAGAGTTTTATGGTTTCATGACTTACATTCAAGTCTTTAATCCATTTCGAGATTACTTTTGTGTATGGGGTTAAACAATAATCCAGTTTCATTCTCTTGCATGTAGCTGTCCAGTTTTGCCAACACCGGCTGTTGAAGAGACTGTCATTTCCCCATTGTATATCCATGGCTCCTTTATCATATATTAATTGACCATATATGCTTGGGTTTATATCAGGGATCTCTAGTCTGTTGCATTGGTCTATGTGTCTGTTCTTGTGCCAGTACCAAGTTGTCTTGATTACTGTGCTTTGTAGTAGAGCTTGCAGTTGGGGAGCATGATGCCCCCAGCTTTATTCTGCCTTCTCAGAATTGCTTTGGCTATTCGAGGTCTTTTGTGGGTCTATATGAATTTTAGGACAATTTTCTCTAGTTCGTTGAAGAATGCTGCTGGTATTTTGATAGGAATTGCATTGAATCTATAGATTGCTTTAGGCAGGATGGTCACTTTGG